GTTCACTGGTTATCGAGATCTCAAAATCTCGGGTACTTGCAACTCGTCGCGTCGCGTAAATAATCCACGGTGCGGTCTCGCTTCGCGTATACTTGGCGCGAGACACTACCGTATCTCTTGATATCAAAGATTTTATATTTTTACGATTCTCACATGTCCCACACAGCACAGGATATTTTGAGGGACATTTGTGCATCCGCTGGATATCCACCGGATATTAAATATCCACTGGATATCCACCGGTTATTGAGATATCCCACTTTATCTGTAGGACGTCCTTCAGATAAAGTGTGCTGTGTGGAGTACTTGTAACAAGAGAGTGATATTTGTACAAAACTTATCTTTTTAAAAAAAAAAGTAAAAAAAATGCGCCAAGTGTACGCGCTCTATACAAAATTTTTATTTAAAAAAATTTTGACTTAATTTGAGCTTATAATACCGTTCGTATTTTTTACTACAAAAATAATGATACTGTAGGTTTGCGCCAAATAAACATGATAAATTAATAATTTCTGATTTTCTTAATTGAGGTTTTTTTTTATTATACTTATTGTGTACCTGTTCTATTTTTTTTATTATTTATATTCACACACAAAAAACACTCTACGTGCCTTTTTTATGCCACACAAATATGTTTGTAGCATATGCTATGTTGCTGTACACCAGTAACATAAGAAGGGAACGCCAAGTATATTTGTGTGTAAAACTAATTATAAATAGTATAAAAAAAAAAACAGAACATGTACGCAACAAGTATAATAAAAAAACATGATTAAGAAAATCAAATGTTACTAATTTATAATATTTACTTAGCACCTTATTCTGATATCATTGTTTTTTGTAGTAAAAAATATACATATTATAAAATTATAAGAACAAATTAGATCAAAATTGTTTAAAATAAAGATTTTGTACACGTACACTTGGCTTATTCTTTACCTTATTTTAAAAAAGGTAAGTTTTATACGATTTTTTTATTTTTTCGCCAACCTTAATTGATATCATAGTGATACTATGAACATTAAGACAGGTATGATATGATACGTAAAAAAGAAATAAGTATGTAAAATACACATAACATTTTTCTAGATTATCCGAAGAAAATAATCGAAATCATGAATGGCACAGAAGCATGTAGCTCCTGGAACGGTATTGACTCTGGCGAGGAGATCGTTATTTCTGGTATTGCTGGTAGATTTCCGGATTCAGATAATATGAATCAATTACGAGAAAATCTATTTAATAAAAAAGATCTTGTTAGAGCTGATCATGGACGATGGAAGAAAGGTGATTAATTCATATACCTAGAATAATTCTGCATTTATGCCTGATTGGTGGATATAGATATGCCATATCCTTTCTGCAATAATTATTATTAGTGGTTATATGTTAAGGATATGTATTTTAAACTAAAGCTTTATTAAAAAGTGAACAAGGAGCGTACCGCCTTTGCGTGAAATTATACATTTTGTTAGATCATCCAGACGTATCAAACCGTATGGGAATAGTTAATAATTTGAACAAGTTTGATGCGGATTTCTTCGGATTATCTTTCGACCAAGCGCACACACTCGGACTTGAGACGAGAATGTTACTGGAACATTCTTATGAGGCAATTATCGACGCGGGGATTAATCCGAAGCAATTGCGAGGAAAGAATACTGCCGTGATAATAGCGACAACTATTTCTGAAACGCAAGCTAAATTTTTGTATGAGGATCTTAAGGTAGAGAAAATTATTAATTGATAAGTGTAATAGAAAAGATTATTGAATTTATCATTTGTGTGCGAGATTTTGTAATCGTTATCTTTCTGCAATTAGATGGATGGTTTGAATCTTATTGGATGTAGCAGATCTACAATAGCAAACATGATTTCGTACCATTTGGATCTAAAGGGACCATCGTATGCAATCGATTCAGCTTGCAGCTCCTGTTTCTATGCCATGGCCCTTGGTTATCATTATATCATATCGGGCAAATGCGAAGATGCGATAATTGGGGCTACACAATTATGTCTATATTCAATTATAAACCTGCAGTTTGCTCGTCTTGGTACTTTTATTGAAACGAATTAATCTTGTAATATATTAAGCATAAAAAGTAATATGCCTCCTAATATTTTTCTTTCGAATCTGGCGCTATAGAAAATTTTGCGTTTCAATGAGTTGTTATTTGAAGTCTTTAGTTGCGAGTTATGTTGAGTGGTATTGTGATCATTTACGTGAGTGTGTCACACGAGCAGTTTGAACTGGTGTGTGTTTCAGATGCGCGTAATAGACAAGGGTGGTAGTTGAATTTCTTATCGTGGAAGAAGTGAGTTCCAATGGTTGCGTTCAGCGGAGAAAGCAGCTTAATGCGCGCTCAATGATTCTTTATTATGATTGGTTTCTACACTTGGATCCAGAGAAGAACTGATGACAAGGTCCAATCATTTAAAAAAATTACTGATTGCTCACTAAATTGCTTTTTCTGCTGTACGCAGCCATCGAAATTCATTCGCGTCTCAGAAATGTTTATGATAACACCGTTTCTGAAATACGAATGGATTTCAATAAGATTTTACACCGACCTTGTCTGTCACGCGTATTTAAAATACACACCAGTTTGAACTATTCGTGTGACACACTAACATAAACTGATTACAACACTACTAAACATAATATAACTAAATACTTTAAATAACAACTCAGTAAAATGCAAAATTTTCTATGGTGCCAGATTTAAAAAAAAAAAA